TTTTACTTAAGGAAAAGATCAGAAGAAAAAATATTTTGACCAAAGGTAAATATATAATTTTTTCCTTGATCAAAATTACTTTTATCTGCTGAAGCTTGATGGAAAGCAGTGACCAGCTCCCTGAGCACAGAGATGGCCATGCAGTTGACACAGCAAGCATCAGATTCACCACCCGAGCTGAACATCCCAACTGTTGCCCCCTTCCTTTATTTTGGGGATGATTTTGCTGATCTTTCAACTGAGCCAACAGCACAGCGGAGTGCACGTACCCGTATTGTGCCCCTTACCCAGCAGTCTGCTGCCGACAGCCCCAAATGCCTTTCCGCACAATCACCTTTTCAGCAGGGAGCCGTGGTGGCCAGAGCAGGCTCATTCCCACAGGCCTGGGCCAGAGGCAGCCCCACAGGCCGGCTGTGGCTCTCCATGTGCCCATCCCTGGCACCAGTAACATTTGGCTCCAATCCCATCTTTTCCTTCCTCCCCAAGGAGTTTTCATGGCTGTGGCCGAGCTCTTTGGCCACTGCAGGACAGCAGGCAGGAGCCCTCATCCCCACCGCTGATGAGAAACCCATATCCCACAGCCGCTGGTGCTCCCACCCTTCCTCCTGACTGCCTTTGGGACGCAGCACAGCTCCAGCCTGGAGGGGAAATCCTCCGCCTTGCCCTCACCGTCTGCAGGGCTCGAAGCTCGCTGGGTCACCCTACATCCCTGCTGCTGCAAGAAGATTTGGGATGTGGGTTCCTGGAGCACCACTTCTCCCTCTCTGCATCCCTGCAGGGGTTTCTTTTGTGCCCCCTCCTCTCTGCCCCAAGCCCAGCACATTGTGTCCCATCACCAGTGCCTCACCCCAGCCTCTCCCTCAGCCTCCAGTGCTTACAGCAAAATTCCTTTCTGGCCAGTCATTGCCGCCCCGGGCTAGTGTGCTGGCAGGGCTGGGCTTCCTCTTCCTGAGCTGCCTTGGCCCTCACCACACTCCTGGTCCCCTCCTCACCTTCGCCCAGTGCCATGGCATCAGGACACAAGGTCCCACCACCCCCAGTGGGTTTTTGTGAGAGGAGGATTTACAGCCCCAGTTAGCAGAGGGAGCGTGCAGGGGATGACTGTAGTGAATCGCTCACTGCAAGGCAGCAAAGAGGGGTGGGAGGCAGCGGCTGATGGAAGGGGGCTCAGCCCCATGGAGGTGTGAGGGCACCTGACAGCATTGTCTTCCCTGACATGCTGCTGCTCCCCCAACATCCACTCAAACTTGGATCTTACCCAGGCACGCACAAAGCACCCATCAGGGACATCTCCCCAAACACAGCCAGCACCCACTTGCTCACACCTCACTGCAGTACCCTCGGCACCCACCCACCTCAGCTTCACATGGTGGCACCACCTCTCATTATTAATTAAAGGACGAATGCTTTGCTTTTCCACAGTCCCCTTCACCTGTGGCTCTCCAAGCATTGTGCAAATATTAATTACTGGTAATTAATTAAATCAGGCCTCCCCATCCCCCTGTGGAGATGCTGTCTCATAAACATGCTGATAGCAAACAGAGTGTCAGGGCAGGCTGGGTGGGAGCTTCTAATTACCTGTTGCTAATGATGCAAACTCCACCTGCAGTAGTTTCTACATAATTGAACTTCCTGGAGTGCTATAGGGCTGAGAGTGGGATGTGGAGGGAAACCAGCAGGACCTGGGTTGATCCCAGTAAGGAATGTGGATCTTTGTAAATGCCCCTGGGTGGCCTGTTTGCAGCTTATGCTTCTGGAAACTTGGTTTTGTGGGGTGTGTTGCTGTAGTGTTTGGGTCCCAAGCAGCTGATGGAGCTTGCTTTGCATCAGCCTTTTGGTCCTGGGTCACCCTGGGGTGTTGTGCCCTGTTATTTGCATAGGTGTTGAGCTGCCAGCCTCCAAGGTAGATGGGGATCATCTCCCATCAGCACCCATCTCCTGAAGAGCTCAAAGTGCTTCACTGGCAGTGTAAAGGTTCAGTGTTCAGCCGTCCTGCTGCTCCTCGGCGAGGGGCTGGGACATGGTGCGGGTAGGACCGGAAGGCAAACAAGGTTGTTGACCCTTCTGGAGCGGAAAGGGGAGCTGCGGGAGGGAAGAAGGAATTACCTGGGGACGTCCAGCAGGAACCTGCAGGTTGTGTGTGGCAGCATAGCTTGGGGTATCTCTTCAGCAAGGTCCCTCTGCCCTGCCAGGGATCAGAGCTCCTCTCTGCAGCCTTGGGTGGTGTTTGGGGGCACCATCTCTCCCCCCACCAGGTTGCAAGGTCCCTTGCTTGCGTAGGGCTGCTGCTGTCTGTCCCTAAGGTTGTGCAGGGCACCGATCCCTGACCGGAGGTGCCACCTTAATCCGGATCAGTGGGAAATCCGTTGCATGTCCATGCAGCCCCACACAGCAGCTCGCTGCCCAGCTGTGGCCACCGTGGCTTCTCAGCCTCTCTGGATCCAGCACGAGCCGGGACCTGGGCACAGCCCTGCAGGAAGCCGGCTTTGGGCAGCCCTCTGTGTGGCATTGCAGAGCACAAATGCATTAATTGCTGAGCAAAGCCAGCTTAATTTCCCGCTCTACCAGCCAAAGCGGGAGCAAACTGGGGTGAGATTAAGGCATTCCTTGGGCAGCTCCCACCCCTTCACCCCAACTGCTGTATCTCGGCCTGTGAGGCCACTAATGCTACTTACATTATTACTGGCTTATTTTGGTGTAATGAGCTTTGCCCTGCTCAGCTGTCCCTCTGCTCAGGGGTGTTGCGATGTGTAATACTTCCTGCATGAGGCCACGAGGCGGGCAGCTGCCTGCTCAAAAACAAGCAGAGCCCCAGCAAAACAATGCATTAATGTTCCCAGAGCAAAATTCCAGCATGGGCCGGAGGTTAATCGCAAATCAGGGAGCTTTCGGCTTAGTGCTGAATAAAGCTGGCCGGCGGGAGGGTGATGGTGCCCTAAGCTGGGTCCTGACCCATCTCCATGGGTATGAATAGGAGTGACCGTATCAGTTTCATCGCTGCCAGCAGTGTAGCGCAGCTCTGAGCATCTCTTCCATCCTCGATGCCTTTTCCTCTGCCTTCCCTCCCATCAGACCTGCCAGCAGGGGCTTGGCCATGTGTTGCTATGGACACCAAGAAGTTTCCCCTAGAGACCAGAAGCTGGGAATAAGTGATGCTTGGATTTTTTGACATTAATTTTTATTTTTTTCCTCTTCCTCTTTTTTATTATTAATGTTTGTTTAAGTGTTGATTAACTCCCAGCCTTTCATCCCCCATCCCTCCTGCTTTTCTCTCCAAGCTCTGTGGATTGCCGTGGCTGTGTCCCAGGGCTTGACTTCAGCTTCATTCCGGGCGAGGGTGCGAGTGCGAGCATGGGGTGCGTGGGAGGAAGTTTCAGTGCTGTAACTCTTGCTCTGCTGGAGACCCCTACAGAAGAGATCGCCCATTTATTCCAGCCTCGGGAGATCCTGTTGGGGTCAGGCTGGGTTCCCTCAGGGATGGAGCAGCGGTCAGAGAAGGTCTTTCAGTTTTCCCAGTGGTGAGCAGTGCTGCACGTCCATAGAGTGTGTCTCGGGGCACTTGGCATATGGGATGGGATTTTGCTGTGAGACAGTCTCAATGTCATTTTGACTTCTCTTTCTTTGCTTTTGAAGCCAATAATGGGCTGTTTCTGTTCCCTGTCACACGATCTGCCCCATGGTGAATGAGGAGCCTCTCTGACGAGTGATCTCCTCTGTCCTGTGTCCCTTCCTCCCTGCTCTGGAGATAGTTCTTGTACCAGATTTCAATCAGCCTCTTCTCTTGTTCCTGGGAATGCAGTTCAGCACTGGGTCAGAAAGTCTTTGGTCCATTGAAATCCTGCCCTTTGCTGTTTGAGCTGCCCAAATTGCAACCTCTCTGAAATCTTAGAGCAAACAAGTCCTTTGCTGCTTGGCCCTTGCCTGCAGCGGTTTGCATGGTGTCAGCCCGCACGGAGCTCCTGCGAGCAGCCCATGTGCTTGCAGGTGGGGCAGGGAAAGCAGGAGCTGATCTCTAAAAATGTTTTCTCTGTGTTTGGGGATTGTGCTGAGACAGTAGAAAGACCCCTCTGCTCCCTATGATTCCTACCCTGGAGCATTGGGCGAGGCCGCAGAGCATCAGCTCTCCGTGGTGGTCTGTGGAGCTGCTGGAGGGGGATGAGGAGTGGAGGTGAGTCCCAGGACCGTCTGCACCAGGAGAGGGCTGGCTTTTGTCTGTCGCTCCAGAGAAGCCATGGTGCCCCTTGCACCCCTGTGGCCCCCAGCTCAGCACAGAGCCCGCACATGCCACGGTGCCGCTCCAGAAGGAGCAGTGGGGCTGGGATGCTGCTCCTTGCCGAGCAGGCGAGAGTCCCACCAGCACCAATCAATCAGTTGCTGTGATGCTTGAAAGCTCCTTGAAAAATTACATTCTTCATCCAGTTCCTAACCAAACAAGTGGAAGCTCCAAAAAACAACAGTTCTGTCCCATGCTTCTGCCAAATTGGTGCTCACAGGCGTGTTTCTGAGTGGGGCAGCAGCAAGCCAGGACTGCCCGAGGGCTGAGCAGAGCAGAGCAGAGCAGAGCTGGTGGGTAGCTGGTCCCTGTGTTGTCCTTCTGCACCTGCTTAGGAGATAGGATTGCATCTGGGGAGCTCTGCATGGCTTTGGGGTGATGGTGCAGGTGACCTGGTGTCCATGCAGGATCAGAAAGCATTCCTTGGGCACTTGCACTGCACAACACTTAGGACTGCAGAGCTGTGAGCCAAACACAGGTAGCGGCTCTTTAAAACCTTGAATCCAGACAGGGATGGCACCCAGCACAGAGTCACTAGACACCAGCACAATCTCAGCCATCCTTTGCCCTTAGCAATGGTGTTATGTCCCACTGCTGTGTTGCTGTCACCGGAAGGCTCTTCTGCAGCTGCCCAGCTGAGGCCAGTGCCATGATGCTCAGCTGTGTCCTGATTGCTAACAGACCCTTCCCTTCTCTCGCTTTTCCCCTCCCTCCTTTCTGCCAGCAGTTCCCTATCAGCAAAACCCCTACACCCCCGGGAGCAGCTCCAGCGTCATCCAGTGCTACCGCTGCGGGGACACGTGCAAGGGCGAGGTGGTGCGTGTCCAGAGCAATCACTTCCACATCCGCTGCTTCACCTGCCAAGGTAGGATGGTGTCACCTGAAGAGCTGGTAGCCAAGTTGCCCCACAGCCCTGGGTGCAGTCTGGAAAGCAAAAGGCTGGGGACAGACCTACCTGACCCACTGAGATGGCGTCACACGCCTGGAGGTGTTACCTCCCCATAAGGATGGATGTGGTGCGATGCAGTCAAGGAGGTAATGGCATGGGATGGTGATGCTGCTGCATGATGCCAAAGCCAGTGGGCTGTGAACAGGGGTGGCTGAGATATGAGCACTGTCACTCTCCGCGAGCTGCCTGAATGCCATCAGCCTGTGCTGCACTGGTCCTAAACATACCCACAGCCCATCTGTGCTCTGAGAGGGCCACCTCATCCTTCAGCCGCCTGCCCCTAAATCAAGAGGAGGAGGAGGAGGTGTCACCAGCCTGGCTGAGAGGCAGCAAGGCGGGGGAGATGCCCGCAGCAGCTCCTGACAGGGCTGGGGGTGGGTGACAGATCACTGCCACCCCCGCGTGGGATATGACCAAGGTGTCACGCGTTGTCCATGTCTGTGTCGTGCTGTGTGCTGAAGCTGGGGCTCAGCAGCCCCCAGGGACTGGCAGAAATAGGGGAGGTTGCTCCAATCCTCCCTGAGCACGAGAGCTGCAGAGCTGTATAAGAGCTCATGCTGAAGGGCTCCTTAGTGCATTTATTAAAGCAGCTGCTCTCAACCAGGCCAGAGGCTGGTTCTGTAGATTGTGAAGCATCTCATAACCAGGGCTTTTTAAAGGTCTCTGGTCTTCCAGGCTTCTGCCAAGCAGAACATAAATCTCTGTCCCTTTGGCCATGCTTGACTGTTCCTCCCCTAGAAGGGTCTGGCTGGAGGGGGCTCTACCCCTGGGCTGTCCCCACCCTGCAGCCCCAAGTCTTTGAAAGGGGGTGAGGGTCTCAGGTTGCCCTCCGAGTTGACCCGCCCGCTCAGTGCACTGTGCCCAGGCCCTTCCCTGCTCAATGTGCAGGATCTAGCAGGAGCTGCGCATCCAGACTAAGAGCTCAGACAGCCACCGGCTTCAAAGGGACCAGGAGCGGCAAGGAGAGCTTGGCAGTGCTCACTGCCTGATTTTGCAGTGAAAGGGAATAAATAATGAGAGGAAATCCTCCTGTCTCACCTTACCTCACAGCTCTTACCCCCTGCCACCTCTGGCTGGCTGCTGCCAGCTCTTACGCCAGTCTCACGGCTTGTCCCTAATGTGTCCCCAGGAGCCTGGCATGGCTGGTGCATCCCCTGGGGATGTGCTCTGGGGTCCCACAGCAAATGGGGCCCAGACCTGCCTCATTTTTTTCTTGTATTTGCTTCCTGATGTTGTCCCAGAATTGGTGGCCTGTCCCCTCCTCACTGACAGCGCTGGCAGGCTGTTTTTGGAGGGTGGCTGCTCTGTGGGCTGGCCTGCAGGTGAAGTGTGTGAGGACAAGGACACATGGGTGCTCAGGGGTGAAGAGTAAAGCAGAGACCAAGATGGACTGTGCCAGCGGGTGTCCAGTTGCTCTGTAGTTCCCCCTTCTACCCTCTCACCTTGCAGGACTGGTGAGGGGCATCGTGCAAAGGCCTCAGGACCTCATCTCTGTGCCACTCCTGAGGTGCTTTCCAGGGTCTGGTGCTTTCAAGAGGTCTCTCTGGATGGAGAAGATGTAGGAGGGAAATGACACTAGGGGCCAGGGCTTGCCATGTCTCCTTGGATTACTCTGATGAGCTGTGCACCACCCACGGTTCCCACTGCAGGGAAGGAAGTGAGATTGGGCTGGACACCTATGGAAAAACAAGCAGTGAGAGCACCAACCCCAATGTGTCACAGCACCCATTCCCATTAATTCCCATTAGGGCATGGCTTCATGTCCAGGCCAAGGGGTGGAGATGGCCATGCCCCAGGGTGCTGAGAACACCTCTCCCCAACTGTCCCTAGGGCATGCCCAACTCTTTGCCAGTCCTGTCCTCGGGTTCCTGACACCCTAAGACTGTTAATAGAGAGGCTGAGCCCCGTCCAGGAGGGGATGCCACGGCCCCCCCGGGCTGTTTGTGCAGTGGTTCCCTTCCCGGTAATCGGGTTTCCTCTGAGAGCGCCCAGCCCTGGCCGGGCAGCCCAGCCCTGCACCCCGCACAGCCCAACACTGACACCTTGTGGTGCTGGGGGAAGGCCCCAGCGCGCCTGGTGGGAAGGGAAACCCTCCGAGATGCCTGCAGAAAGCTGCGTCTTCAGGGATGCCCTGGGACCGCTGCTGGGGAGGCAGCAGGGCTGGTCCCAGAGATCCCGAGGGGGATCTGCCCGCTGCCCCCCTGACGGGACCGTGTCCTCCCTCCACAGTGTGCGGCTGCGACCTGGCCCAGTCGGGCTTCTTCTTTAAGAACCAGGAGTACATCTGCACCCATGACTACCAGCAGCTATATGGGACCCGCTGCGACAGCTGCGGGGACTTCATCACCGGAGAGGTCATCTCTGCCCTGGGGAGGACCTACCACCCCAAGTGCTTCGTCTGCAGCACCTGCAGGTGAGCTGAAGCCATCACTGAGGGTACAGGACCCCCTGCAAAAGCCCTGTGCAGCCCTTGGTCGTGCACCAGGGAGAGGGCTGTTCATTCACCCACAGCCCCTCATTCGGCACCACAGCAGGCACCTCCTCTGTGTTTTTGTAGTGGAAACCCTTGGGAGACAATGAAATGTCTCCGACTGCTCTCTTTGTAGCCCAGAGACTGGTCTGAATGCCCACCTCAGTCTTTTTGCCCCAGCACATGTGAACACTCGCTGCCTCCCCTTGTAGCTCTTGCCTGGAGCCCTTCTGCTCCCCATTGCCATGGGTCCCACTGGCCCCTCGGGAAGGAACTCATGGGCAGCCCCAGATGCATGGAGGGGAGCAAGTGGCTTACACCTCTCCACCTTTCCTTGGCCACAGGAAGCCATTCCCCATTGGAGACAAGGTGACGTTCAGCGGGAAGGATTGTGTCTGCCAAAACTGCTCTCACTCTCTCATCAGCACCAAACCCATCAAGATCCATGGGCCCAGCCGTAAGTTGACTGCCTTTGTGTTATGTGATAGCTGCAATGAGAGGGACCACATACCCTTGGGTGTTGCTTGGTTGAGTGACAAGATGGGCTTTGGGGCTGCATTCAGCCATGGGCATTAGCAGAGGTTTCGGAGGAGAAACAAGGTAGTCCCACGGCTCCACCCAGGATTGCAGGTCACTGCTGGTTTTGGAAACTCCCTTGGCCTGTTTGTGACCTGGGCAGGTGCCACCACCCTGGCAGGCACTGTCTAGGACAGCAGGGAGGTTTTGGGGCCGGGTTTGCTCTGAGGCTGTGCCCAGATGCTTTGTGTCCAGCTGCACCAAGGTCTGTGTCCAGGTGCCAACTGCAGGACTGCTTGCCTGTCTTTCCCAACGCTGGCGTTACTGCCTCTACAAGCATTGAAAGGCGTCTTACGCTCATTCCCTTGCACTGATGAACCCAAGCTAAAACTCAGCAAGAGCAGTGGACAGGCTCTTTTGGATGGATTTGGCCATAGTTTTGACCCCAGGTTGTTCCTAGGAATACTTCTGTGCCATGCTTTGCCTCCTCCAGTTTTTCCTTCCCACTGACTCTCTGCCTTGGGTCGCTGTGAAGCATCTGTGGGTACTGTGCTTGGGGGCTGGCAGAGCATCCCTGAGGCATAGAGCTGCTGCACTCAGGGCCCACTTCAGCCCATGATCAGAGCAAGAGGACTGCAGTGTTAATTTGTGGTCCATGCTTTGCTGTCTCCCATATACTGCTGTGAAGTCCCAGGGGAGCTGTCTCAGCGCCATGTGTGGGCAGATGGCAGGGAGAGCTGGGAGCTGTGCCCAAACTCTGCCCTGTCAGCAGGCTGAGCCATGGAGGGGGCTGGTTGGAGGGGCCTTGCTGCTGCAGCTCAGCAAGCCCTGGTGCATCAGTGCCTGGAGCCAAGTCCTGCAGCCAGACCCAGGACCGTGGTGTCACCCATGGTCCTTGTCACTTGGTCACCGTGGTGGCACTGGTGGTGGCTGTTTGGATTGAGTTTTGAGTCGGTGCTGATGGGTCCATGGAAGCCCCCTCAACCCGCCTCCCCTCAGCTCTCACCATGGCCTCAATGGAGTTAGGGGATGTGGTGGGGTTTGAATGAGCCCCAGCCAGAGGACAGGGCTTCCCCCATCTGCACCCGGAGCTGCCCAGAGGCAGGCTGTGGCCAGATGCAGCTCCTTGCCGTCTCCTGTGGCTGGGAAGGGAAAGGGCAGCCACACGCTCTGCCTCTCTCCTGCCTTCTTCTGCCTTCCCCTTCCCACCAGCGCTCCTCCCCAGTCTGCAGTGCCGGGTTACCTGAGGGCGCCATGCTCTATTCACAGGCAGCTGCAGGCAGACATAGCCTCCTGCCTGGATGTGATCTGGCAGTGCCACCCAGGAGGCATGGCATGGCACACACCAGCTGGAGCCAACACCGGTGCACTCTGTGGGGAGGACATCCCTAGAAGGATGCTGAGCCTCTCCCTGCAGCCCCAGCCCTGCAAGCAGCTCAAAAGCCAGCAGGACCTGTGTGAGAGAGGGAATGGGTGTTGGTGCAGCCCAACTAGCCTGCCTGCTTCTTGCCAGGGGTCAAAAATCCTTCTCATAGCTTTGTCCGGTGGGCAGGAACTTGGTGCAGAGCTTCCAGGGAGTAGGCTGAGTGGAAATGCCTGCCTGTGGGTGCTGCTGCACCTCCCTGGTTAAGAAGAAACCCTATCTGGACAAACCTGCTGCCCAGGGGGAGAAAAGGATGAGGAGGAGTCAAGGTCAAGGGTCCAAGGCCCATGTGCTTCCTGCTCCCAGCCTTGATGCGAGCCAGGGGAAGCAGGGAAGGAAGGGAGTCTCGTAAATACTGCAGTGGGGCCGGACGCGGCTGCCGGAGAGCACAGCCCTTCCTCTGCTGCACTCACTGCCGGACACTTCTCACTGTTCCCACCCCAGAGGGGAGCCCCCAGGGACCTGTCAGAGCAGTACAGCCTGGGCAGCCCCTGCACTCGCCCCAGCTGAAGCAGTGGGTGCTTGGCTGGGGTGTTGGATGCCAGCGGTGCCTCAGAGGTGCCAGCTGCAGCAGGAGGCATTCCTCCTGGCTCCTTTGCTGGGAACAAGCAGAGGTGGCATATTTCCGTAAAGAAGTGATCCCTATGTGGTTGTCCCTTAAAGTCATCTCAGGAGCAGGGTTTTTATGATGACAGAATTCCCTAAAAAAGGAGGTCATCTGGGGCAGGGCTTCCTCTGGGTGCCAGGGGTGCACTAGGTTACACAGCCAGGGTGCCTTGGTGTGAGGCAGCAGATGTGGGTGTTCCTGCCATGCTGGAGATCTGTGGTGGTCCCATGTGCTCCCCGCTCCTTCTGTTCCCCCAGAATGTGCAGGCTGCAAGGAGGAGATCAAGCAAGGCCAGTCCCTCCTGGCCCTGGAGAAGCAGTGGCACGTCAGCTGCTTCAAGTGCCAAACGTGCGGGATCATCCTCACCGGCGAGTACATCAGCAAGTGAGTGGCGCTGTGCCAGCAGCAGGTTTGGTCTGAGGGATGTGCAGTCTGGCTCATCCATAACTCGCTCCCTTCTCCTCCCTCTCTCGAAGGGACGGTGTCCCGTACTGTGAGTCTGACTACCATGCCCAGTTTGGCATCAAGTGCGAGACCTGTGACCGGTACATCAGCGGCAGGGTCCTGGAGGTGAGTCCCGGGGCTGTGGCCACCCTGTCCTGGTCTGTAATAGGGACTGTGTGCATCCCACCCTGAGGTGCATGCTGTGGGGAGGTGTGGGAGTTTCATCATCCTCCACCCTTGTCATGCTATCCTCAGTCTCTCAGGGCCGTGGCTCTTCTTGCGACGGGTGTGTGGGCACAGTTTGACCACCTTCTGTGGAGGATGAGAGTAGGAGAAGGAGCACCACCATGTTGCGGGCTTCTGGAGAGGTGGTTTGGGTACTGGAGCTCCAGCAGCAGCCTGACCATGCAGTAGCCTCTGCATGCTGGGATGTGTCTGGAGCCCAGGATGTGGGGTCGCTCGCCTTAACCAGCTGCTACTGTGCCTGGCTGTGGCGTGTCCCCACCACGCTCACCCCAGCCCAGCTTCTGAGCACATCCCTGTGCCGGCAGCCTGCTGGTTGCCTTGGAAACACATCCAGCACGGCTGCCTGCTGTGGAGCTTGGGCGAGGGGCTGCAGCACCCTGCCCGCAGACTGCCACCCCCTTCACAGGGCAGCAACCAGAGCAGGGGGGCCCCTTCCCCAGGCCAAATCCAGAGGAGGCTTTGCTCATCACATTGCTGGCCAGCAGGACCTGCTCTGGCAGAGCCACTGAGGGATGCTGGGATCCCATGGGGTCCCCACAGCAAGGCATGGGTGCAGGTGGCTGTGAAGGATGTTTTGGGCAATGGTGGAGCTGGTGAGGGGAGTAGGAGTTGGTGTTAGGGAGGGACAGAGACGTCCATCAGGGCTGGTCTTTCTCATCAGCCAGGCAGTCAAGTCCTTCCTATGGTTCCTGCTCCTGGAGGTGAGGTGTCCTGTCATGGTTTCTGTTTCTACCCCAATGTTTGCAGGGGGAGAGGAAAAACAAAAAACAAAAACAAAAACAAAAAAGCTGGAAAATCTGGTTTGAGGATAAACTAAAGGCTCAGGAGGCAAAGAGAAAGATGTCAAAATGAAACCTGTTGTGATTTTTAGGCCTCCTGGTGATGGTTTGGGGCTGGGCTGTGGTGGTGTAGAGAGGCAGCAATGCTGAAAGTGTGCTCAGTCATTCCTGAGACCTTCCCTTGGCACCCACACCTCTGCTATCTCCAGACAGCAGTGATGGGAAGTTGTATCCCAAAATCAGAGGTGCTGTGGCTCCACAGCAAGCCAGACTGCAGGTGTTGTGGGCTGTGTAGGTCTCCAGCCTGCTGTGAGCTGTTCCAGGACATGTTCCACCTGTTTCACCTACATCCTACCAAGAAGTGGTTGCCTGCCCTGGTCCTGCTATCTGAGAGCACCCAGCCTGGCCAGGGAACCTTTCCTGAAGCTGGACCCAGGTGCCAGGAGCCCTCTACCATCTTCTCCCTCTTCTTCCCTGCTGCCTATGCCTAGGAAGGCTTTCTGCTGACTCCAGGCTTCAGCAGCAGCCCCAGCACTGGCTGCTGTGAGCTTAGTGCTGCAGTGGCTCCCGTGGGCCCATTGCCCATCATGGGGCCACTTTATCTCAAAAGTCTGAGTGGAGCAGGGTGAAGCCAGAGCCTCCCCTGACATCAGATCTCTGCCACTGCTCCCCTGGGGCTGTCTGGTTCCCAGTAACCCTCTGCCAGGACAGGAGCATCCTCAGCCACCCCAGCAGGGCTGGGTGTTACAGGTATGGGATGTTCAGTGGGTGAGAGGAGCCTGAGGGGACCTGGGACCCCTGCCCTGGACTTGGAGGCTGTGCTGCTGGTCTGGCCAGCACCAGCGAGCACCACTGCCTCTGAGCCGTTTGCTGCACCACTCTTGGGGTTTTCCTCACTTGGTGCAACCACAGGAGGAATGTAAGATGTTCCTGCCCCTGCACATCTGAGGAGACAGACAGAAAGCAGCTCTGCAGGGCATGAGAGGCGTGCGGGTGGTGGCAGCCCACTTGCAGGCCAGGGATAGCCCAGGGGCACTGTCAAGGAGCTGAGAGTTTGGGTGCCAGGGGGCTGTGCCAGGCAAGGACATTAGAGCACCCATTGCATCCCTGCAGCCAGGGCTCAGCCCACCCTCCCCAGGTACATGCCTACTCACAGTGTTGAATGATCTCTTGTAAAACCAGAGGCTTTAATTGTCTTCTCCGGCAGAGCGTGAAATGGAAAGGGCGCCTTTAAATAATTTTAGACCTTAAGGAGCTTTCTGGTGCTATCCCGGCAGCCTCCAGGCTTTTCCAAGCGCTCCGAGCTGGGCAGCCAGGCTTGGATGATTAATGAGTCTTTAAGGGACTGCAAGTGATAACGAGCAGGTCTCTTCCCTCACAGCCTCTGCCAGCCTTTTATGAGCTGTAATTTTAACCAATATAAAAGGAACAAGGTTTGTGCATGGTTTGGAATTGCTCCTCAAGGGGGAGTGGCAGGTGTTGGGTGTTTTTGGAGAAGGTCTGCATTAAATTAAAGTTGGGACTGAGCTGGTACGTGCCCCCAGGGAGCAGCCAGCCTTGCTCCATGTCTACACCCCCAGATTTGCAAAGCATCATCCCCTTCCAGCATGGTCTGACCTGTGACAGCAGCCCATATAGTCTAGATAGGAAAATACTGCTTTTTTTTTCTTCACTGTCAGCACACGAAGCCACTGGGGGTATGAAGAGGGTCCAAGTGCAGCAAACCCATCTCAGATTTAGAGGACTGGGAGAGGTGCCCAGTGTCCCCCACGTTAGCTGTCTCCGGTCAGCTGGAAATACAAGCAAGGGGAGCTGCAGGCACACCTGCCCAAAGCGTTTAGGAGCTGGGCTTCGGCTGGGTTGCTTTCCATCTCTTCTCCTTGCATTTACAGCTGTCTCCTCCGACTGACGCAGCTCAGCGTGCCTGTCCTGGGTGCGCAGCAGTGGCTGGTGGGTGCCTGCACTGTTCAACGCAATACCCTGCCGTGGGGGGCTGCAGTTGGGGCGGCTGTGGGGACCTCTCCTGTCCCACTGGAGAGCCTGGGGTACTGGGGCTGGGGCCTTCCTTGCTGGTCCTCTGCGTTCATGGTGGGTCTGAGTCTCCAGCCTTCCCACCCATGACTTTCCTGCCATGTTATCCAGCTTTTGGATGTGAAGCAGGTTGTGTGGGCTGTGGGGCTCACTTGGGCCAGCCCAAGACTATGTTGTGCTGCTGCCAGCTGGTGTGAGGAGGTGCCTGGGGCACACAGCTGTCCCCTCCCTGGACTGAGGTGCACTGCAATGAAAGGAAGAGGGGTGCAAACTCTCCTACTTCTCTCCCCTGCCTACCCTAAAATCTTCCACTCATCTTTGACATAAACTGGAGGGAAAAAGCCACTGGCTGCCATCTGCACCCCAAGGACATTGTGTTCCAGCTTGATTTTTATGGGCCATCAACTGGCAGATTCTCAGTTATCCTCGCACAGATTTTCCTGTTGATCCCCCCTGTTTCAAACTGGCCTCAGCCCCCTCTATCATAACCCTCCTCTTTGTCAGCCAGAGCCTCATCTTCCTTCTGCTGCCTTAAATTATCTTTTCTCTTCTCTTGGATTATTATGGGAGTAAAATGTCCTTTGAGGTCAAGCTCTAACAGTGCAGCCCAGACTCCTCCTGCCCTGAGACAGCTCCTGCCTCCCAGCCCAGAAAACGAGCCTATAATTGAAATGCTAGCAGACACTTTGAGTGGAAACAAGCTACCAATTAAAGCTGTTATCCCTGTCAAAGAGCAAGAGGAACAGCCCATCTCCTGCTCAGCTGTTGCCAGCGCTTAAGTTTGGCTTCACAGAAGTTTCTTGAGGGAGAGGGGCAGGCAATGGTAGCCAGGAATGGTCTGAGAGCAAGAGGAAGCTTGTGTTTTGCAAGGTTTATCTTTGGGGTCGTCCTTCTCCCTTTACTGCTGTGTCATCTTCGGCCAAATTTGCTGTTTTTCTTCAGAGCTGTAGAGAGAAGGAGCTGGTGCAAAGCATGGTTGCTTGGCTGAGCATCACTGCAGAGGGTCTTGGTTATTTCCGCAGTGCAAGGACAATTTATTAAGGATGAGGTTTTAGGGTACCTTCCTTGAGGGCTTGGGACCTCCTGGCTCTGCTTTCCTGTGTGTTGGACAGTTCAAGGAGAGCAGAAGGTGTCCAGTCTGACTCGTAGTCCAGCAGGTCAGAAGCATTAGTGATGTCTCTGATTTTCTCTGCATGTTGTGGTGGTCTCCGAGGCCACCACAGACAGTTTTGTCCCATTCACCTTGTCATTGTCTGCAGCAGCAAGTGATGCCAGGGCGACTTACCCCCAGGGACACGAGCAGGTCACCACATCCTGCCTTGCTCAGGGGCCCCTCTTTTCTGCTCGCCCTTGCAGGCAGGAGGGAAGCACTACCACCCCACCTGTGCCAGATGTGTCCGCTGCCACCAGATGTTCACAGAAGGAGAGGAGATGTACCTCACAGGTAGGGCTCCCACTGTGGTGGAGAGGGACTCTCCTGCCCCACATTTTGGGTGGCTGTGTGGAGGTGTGCTGGCCAGAGGGTGTTTGGGGTTCAGGTCTGTGCAGCAACACCAGAGACCCCTTCTCCGCTGCTCCCCAGCCCCTGTGTTCTTCCTGGGTCATGTGGCAACCATTTCTCTCCATGAAACCTTCCCTGCCACTGAGCTGGAGGAGACTTTGTTCTTCAGCAGCAGCTTTTTGCTCTCTGTGAGTCTCCCAGCACTGCCGGGCATGTCTGGATGCATCCCTGCTCTGTGTCCAGTGAATCGAGGCTGGGATGGGCACAAGGTGATGGGCTCCCCCCTCTCCCCAGCCCCAGGGGATGTTGTCCAGGACCCCTTCTCCACCACACCCCAGTCCTCCCATCCAGGTTATGCTGTGAGCAGCACCAGAAGGGTGAGGGTTTCGTTTGGCACAGTAAATCCCTAGCAGCGGGGGTGAGCTGTGTGTGGAGCTGAAACGCTTTCCCTTTGCCACGTTGCAGGCTCTGAAGTGTGGCACCCCATCTGCAAGCAGGCGGCCAGAGCAGAGAAAAAGCTCAAGGTAGGTGATGGGTGAGGAGTGTCTCCAAGAGGTGGCACGTTCCAAGTGATGCTGCCCCCAAATCTCTGCTGGAGGTGTTGTGGCAGTGTCCAAGCTCAGGTGGCTTCCCAAGGCTGCCATGAGCTCTGTCCCCACCTCTCCATGCCCAGCTAGCCATGGGGACAGTTACCTCCTGGGTCTTGCTGGGCCACTCGTCTGACCTCAGATCTGGCCCTGAGAGAGGCCAGGGCACAAAGCTGAACAGTAGGGCAGCCTGCAGCAGCCATGGGCACCAGCAGCGAGTGGATGAAAGGGCAGAGGACCTGGGCTTTGAGTGAAATTCAGCCCCAAAAACAATGATTTGCTTGCTACACCCAGCATTGTGCCTGTTCAGGGGTCCTTCCTTGCCAGGCTCTTACCTGTCCTCTGCTTTTCTGCCTCCACAGCACAGGAGGACGTCAGAAACCTCCATCTCGCCCCCTGGTTCCAGCATCGGCTCCCCGAACCGCGTCATCTGCGTAAGTACAGCTCTGTCTCCATCTGCACAGGCCTGGATGGGTGCTCCAGCCCCAGGGAAGGAAGCAGCAGTTCCCAGTGCTGCTCTGCAGCGTGAGGCATCCCCCAGGGACAAGCCCAGTGTTTGGGGACAGCACGGACAAGCCATGCCCCCAGCCAAAGCAGCACACTGTGTCAGCAGTGCCATTGGCACAGACTGGGAGTGCTTGGAAGGGCACAGTCCCACCCTCCTAGCTCCTCTGCCCCTTCCTGCTGCTGCCTCTCAGGCACCTCCTCCTACCTCTTCCCACTGCTGGGGTGATGGTGGGCTCTGTCTGCTCTGTGCTGGCTCCGCACTGTGTGCTCCAGCCTCTCCTTCCTTCTCTCCTCCTCTTCCTTTCCATCTGTCTGTCTGTCTCTCCCTCTCCCTAGGCTAAAGTGGATAATGAGATCCTTAATTACAAAGACCTGGCAGCTCTTCCCAAGATTAAAGCCATCTATGAAGTGCAGCGTCCTGACCTCATTTCCTACGAGCCCTATCACAGATATACGTCGGATGAGACGCTGGAGAGATATAGCTATGGGGAGGTACTGAGTTTGGATATGCCCAATGCCAGGCCACAATTTGGGGCAATGGGAGAAACTGCATGTGGGTTCTCTCACTCCAGCAGGAACACTACAGGGAGGCAGGACCAGGGGTAAGACCTCTCCCGGAGGTTCCCCATCACTGGGAAGAGGACTGGGAGGGGATGTGTGGTGCTGCTGCTGGAGGGTAAGGACACTAGTGACCTTAGCTGGTCACCATGTCCTGCCTATGCCACAAGCCTGGTGTGCAGGGACAGAAGGTACTGCATGGGAGGAGACGTCACCCTTGGGAACGACATGGCAGGGAGCTCACCCATCACAGCTGGCAGCTGGTGAGGAGGAGGACATGCAGTCTGACCCGCAGCAGAGGGACAGACGGCTGGCAGGGCAGCCCAACAACTCAGCCCAAAATCATCCTGTGTGCAAGGTGCCTGCTTCTCCTTAGTTGGAGTGGGGAGTGAGGCTGGCCTGGGCCACCCAGCCCTGGCACAGCATTTCTGGAGCATGGGGGACTGCGCCTGTTGGGTGCTGGCACCACAGCAAGTGGAAGCAGGCTTGGTCAGTGTGATTTTGCAAGCATGTGATGAGGTGATGCCCAAGCAGCTCGTGGCACAGGACTGCCAGGCTGGGGCTGCTGGAGGATTTCAGTCAGTCCATGGAAGTAAAGAGGGTCTGAGCAGCTCACACAGAGATGGGGGACATGAAGTGGTCCTTTCAGAGGGCTTTGTGATGGCCAGCAGCAGCATCTCTTACATCTCCATTTTCAGGGCCTCCATACCCGCCGTCCTACCATGGTTTCACTCTGGCTGTGCTGCCAGCCCGCTCTCTGGCAGCTGTGCCAAGGCTGTAACATGGGGAAAAGGTGCTGCTGTGGGACCTCGGTCTGTCACTGCTCCCCTTAACTGTGTGCTGTCTCTTTCTCTCTCTTTCTCTGCCCCCACTTTGCCTCCTGCTGCCTCCAGTCCCTGGGGACCCTCTCCCCATACTCACAGGTAATGTCCCCACCCAGCACTGAGGGGTCTGTCACCTGTTGCCACCGCAAGGCATCCTTCTGTGCAGGGACCACTGGGGCTCTGCTGAACATCCCACTGCCTGGGTGCTACCTCGTGAAGAAAGAGGGGGAACCCATCTGGGAGGGTCCTGTCCTTCAGGCCCCAGGGAGAGCAGTGAGCAGCCCTCCCTGGCAGAGCACACCCAGGGTGCAGCTTTTGCCCTGTGGAAGGAGACACTGGAAATTGGGAACAAACTCAGGGGAAAGGGATGATCTCCAGGCAAGGAGACGAAAGCCTCTGGACAGACACCATTGCCTGGCATCAAACCCTGGGCTTTGCTGCCTGCAGTTTGGCAGTCTAGGGACATCCTCTAGCTAAGGAGGTCACACGCACTGCCTGGCACGTCGCACCATGGAGCATGTGCCCTACTGGGATGCCACAAGCATGGAGGACCCTCACCATGGGACACCTCCCTGCAGGGCTGGTGAAGCACTGACCTGCCTCATCTCTCATCCTGCTGGCTCTAACCCTGCTTCTCTCCATACCTTTCCTGGTCTCCAGGACATCTACGAGAGCTTTGACACACGGCAGAGGCGAGCCTCCAGCCCTGGCTACATCGACTCCCCCACCTACAGCCGCCAGGGCATGTCCCCCACCATCCCGAGGTCCCCCCACCATTTCTACCGCTCAGGTGAGGATTTTGGCTGCAACCCCCAGGCTGGGGGGGATGCTTGAGGATCCTCAAACCATCCCCTGCTTCTCCCAGAGGACCTTGGTGGTCCCTCCTCTGGCAAGCAGGCAGGAGGCCTGGGGAGATCTGTGGGGGGCTGACAGCAACAGGAGCTGTGGGGTGGTGACTGAGTGCTGTGTGCATCCTCTGGTTCCCCTGACTCGTCTTGTGAGAAGTTAGGAGAGGCCAAGGGGCTTTGTCCTGGCTCAGGATTGAGCTGGGGCTTATGGAGGATGGGATGGGGAGGGAGGTGACTCCCAGGTCCAGTGAAGGGGCTGGTAGCTCTTGGAGGGTCGTGCAAGAGAGTGTTTGAGCCAGTGCTGCAAGGTGGGGGTCCTTACACACACACGTGTGCACACCTTGTGGGGGAAGCAGAGTGTGTGCCGTGTCTCCTGTCCTTTGGAGCCAGTGAGGAACGACTGGGGAAATCCGAGGTCAGTAAGTCCAGAGGTCCCGCGTTCCCTGAGCTATCCCTGCGCTGCGCTGCCAAGGGCCTGTCACCGTTCGCCTCTGCAGCACGCTCGGCTTCCCCCTCACCGGCGGCGGGGCAGCCTGCGGCCCTGTGACAGCACCCGCACGCAGGGTTTCCTCTGCATCCCACTTTCCTCCAGAGATGCGGGAAATCTCTCCCTGCTCCATCACACCTCATCCTGGGCCACGGCCCGATGCACATCCCTGTCACCCCCGCCACGTGGGTCACTCCCTGCTCTTCTAACACCGCTGCATTTAACTCCCGTTTTCTTCTGCCTCTTGTTCTCTCTCTTGGTCACTTATGGCTGCTTCTGCTCGGCACCGCATAGGCACCGAGAGCGGGCGCAGTTCCCCCTACTATAGCCAGTTAGATGTGAGGTCCTCCACTCCAACCTCATACCAAGCGCCCAAGCATTTCCACATCCCAGGTAGGCTCTGGAGCACCCTGGTTCCCGGGGAAGCGCCGTGTCTGTGGCATGCCCGCATGTGCCGTCTCCCCTGTGTCGCATGCATAGCTCCACCGCCTGCCTAGAGCCAGCTGGCAGCAGGATCTACCCCTGGTAGAGGCCATCCATAAACAGGACCTGCAGCTTGAACCCTTCCTCCCTCCCCATCACCACCCGGATGTCCCAGAGCCGCCCGGAGTCTGCTTGATCCTTGCAACATCCCTCTTCTTCCTCTTCCCAACTTTCCTCCACCCACCCCACACGAAGATGAATCCCCTGCGGAGAGCCTGCCCCCTCCCCTGCCTTCCCCCCAGGATCACAGCCGAAGCGTGTCTGCCAGAGGCCTTTCCACACCCATCCGCTACAGCTGACCAT